ATTTTTAAAAATGCTTTTATTCCAGATCAAGGTGATAGAAAACTCACTGTTCTTTTCTTTCATAGAAATCTGGGAAATTGATGATCATCTACTAAAACTCTTACAGAGAGAAAGCAAGGTGAACAGGATGGAACAGTGGCATGAACACAGTGCCTTTGAAAATTCTGTTCATCAGCACAGAGCTCAATTTCTACTAAGGCAAAAGCATGGTATATTTAACTTACATGAAAAAAGTATGAAACCAAACTTACCTTTGGTTGACCAGAGCAGACACTGTGAAATAAAGAACTTTGCTGAGATTTCTAGAAATGGGGAATCCTTTCTCCATGTTTCTTGTGAACAATTTCATACCGAAATTAAATTCCCTGCAAATGGAAAACTCATCAGCACTAAATCTCAGTTCACTCGTCCCAAGCCTCAGAATACTCAAAAAGTAGAGAAACCTCATGTATGCAGTGACTGTGGGAAAGCCTTCATCAAGAAGTCTTGGCTGACTGATCACCAGATCATCCACACTGGTGAGAAGCCCCATAGATGTCATCTGTGCGGGAAAGCCTTCTCCAGGAAGTTCATGCTCACAGAACACCACAGAACCCACACAGGTGAGAAACCTTACATATGCACCGAATGTGGCAAAGCCTTTCTCAAGAAATCACGGCTCAACATACACCAGAAGACTCACACTGGAGAGAAGCCCTATATATGCAGCGAATGTGGAAAGGGCTTCATCCAGAAAGGAAACCTCATCGTTCATCAGCGAATTCACACAGGTGAGAAGCCTTACACATGTGGTGAGTGTGGGAAAGGCTTCATCCAGAAGACCTGCCTCATAGCTCATCAGAGATTTCACACAGGGAAGACTCCCTTTGTGTGCAGCGAATGTGGAAAGTCCTGTTCACAGAGGTCGGGGCTCATCAAGCATCAAAGAATTCACACGGGAGAGAAGCCCTTTAAATGCAGCGAGTGTGGGAAAGCCTTCACCACAAGGCAAAAGCTCATTGTCCATCAAAGAACTCACACAGGAGAGAGGCCCTATGGCTGCAGTGAGTGTGGGAAGGCTTTTGCATACATGTCTTGTCTGGTTAAGCACAAGAGAATACACACAAGGGGAAAACAGGGAAATTCAGGCAAGGTGGAAAACCCCACAGACGGAGACAGCTCATTGCATACCTGTGATGACCACCAGGAGAAGAGCCCTGTTAACACACTGACTACTCAGGTGCCTTCTGAGGCCCCTCAGACAGCAGTGAACGTCAGTGGGCTCCTCACTAACAGGAATTTGGTCTTTGGGGGACAGCCAGTGGCCAGATGTACACCCTCAGGGGACAGCATGGAATTCACACAGGAGAGAAACCTCACAAATGCAGTGAACATGGTTGTGCCCCCAGTGATAAATTATGTATTATATTATGTCACAGAAAACCCATAGGGAGAGGCTCAGATTTAGTTATG